CCTAACCTTGTGCTATCCTTAGTATCTGCCCATGTGCTATCCTTAGTACTTCCCAAGTGCAATCCTTAGTACCTACCTATACCCATTTGCTATCCTTAGTACTTCCCAAGTGCAATCCTTAGTACCTACCTATACCCATTTGCTATCCTTAGTACTTCCCAAGTGTAATCCTTAGTACCTACCCATGAGCTACCCTTAGTGCCAACCCATGTGTTATCCTTAGTACCTTCCCATGTGCTATCCTTAGTACCTGATACCATGTTTCAATTTTGGTCACGGACTTACCGAGTATTTACTGATAGCCTCAACGTCAGGTGACTTGGAGAACACCAATCTGGAGTGGTCCGCCTGAGAAACATCCAGCTCCAGGTAACCCTCTGGTCCGTTCTCTTTCAACGTCCATTTCTCTCCCTGGTTTGTGGGCAGTTTCAGTAAGGTGGAACCTAAGCAATCAACCGATGGTTCAAAGGTTAAACTCGCATGATGAACAAAGACTAAGGATTAAACAACGAAACACTGTTAGCTTAAAGAAGCCTTCCTTATTTGCTTTGCGACTACACATTTTTCAAACGTCCAACGAGTCGTCGTAGTCTAAAAGAGTTTCCACCCAGCACTATTGGTGCCATGAGTAATTCATGGGATTTTTAATTTTTAAAAATATTTTTGTTTTGTTGTAATTAAATCAAAACTATGTCGAATTAGTTGTTTTTTTCTAAGTAAAAACTTCAAGTTGTCGGTGACCATTTTGTTTGAATAGTTAACGCATGGTCGCTCACCTGGGCTAGCATCTTCCTTGGTGAAAAGAAACGAGCTCTTCACTGAGCAGGGCTCATATCGCTCTACGGTAGATAGACTACCTGGAAACACGTTAGAAATTTACTTTAGTCAATTCTAAAACATGGTGAAGGGTTTTAAATTATTTGTTTGTGTAATTGTTGTTGCTGCTAAAAAGAACGATTTTCAAACTGAGAGAAAAGGGAGATAATATTGATTCGGTATCAAATCAACCGATAAATGTTAAACCTAACATAACTAAAAGTGTTAACAAACTACGCATAGTAAGTTTTAGGGAGGCTGGGGATGTATGTTTTTTTAAAATAAAAATTCAAGCACGTTAGCAAAGAGTGAAGTAGTCCTGTGTGTACGAAGAACAATGAAGAAGCGGACTCTGACACATGACACGCAAGGTGTGCAATTGTACAAGAACAATTAAGAAGACTGAAATATGGCATGACAAGTGCGCAATCCTACGAGAACAGGATAAACATCCTTGGTCACTCACTTATCTCTGAGCTGTCGGCTGCCCGGGCCACGTCAAGAGATGCGGCACAAGCAAAGAGAACCAACGCGATCTTCCTGTACAGAGACTTCAGCTTTCTGCGTCCTCTACGGGCGGCCGGCAGCGCCTTCTCCAGCAACGGCAGGTCGTGACTGTCTTCTGGGTCCTTCTCTTTTTCCATTGTCTTTAGTTCAATGTAAGCCATTTAACGTCAGTTAAATAACGTACAAGATTGCAACTATCCTTAAGCAGAGATTTTCGACACTTTATTCGGGGAAATGAGAGTATATAAAAACAGTTAAAGGTAGCCATTAGTGGAAGTATTCTACGATACAAATAAATTACGTTTTATATGTTTTTTTACGCTACTAATGAATTAAAATTTATATTTTTGTACGATTTTAATGAGTTATGTTTTTCTAAATTTTTTCCTAATAATTTAAACATAATTGTTCAACTCAGAAGCTAGTGGGTTTTACAACACGAAAAGAAAAAAACAACAATACTGAAATAATTTGTAAGAAAATTATTGTGTCTCGTTCACATCTTTTCACATTTTAAAACTAACCAATAGAAAGGCGTGCCTCATATGTTTATCACATATACTAATATCTCATTGTTACAAAAGAAAATCATAAAAACACTAAGCTTATATTTCATTATGGTGTTTTTTTTTTTAAATTCCTGAATTAATTACTCAATCTCCTTATAAACTGTAATGATTTGTTCTCCGAGCATTGTAATGAAGAAAAAAAAATGTTATGAACAAATGCATCTTACAACTGAACACAGATATGAACACTAAACACAAGCACGTATGCCTGTGATGACTTACGAGGTAGCCACAGAGAAGTAAAGCGATCTTGAAATCAAAATATTTCCTCCCTACACGTCCACGGAACACATGCAAATGAAGACGGAATTCGATACAAAAACAGTCGAGAATATTCCAGTAATTTCGTGGCGAATTTCTGATTTTTAGCCCCTTTGGCTTTTTTACTGACCCTTCGCCCCTGTTTTCCCCCCACAAAGCATTATCTTCCCTTGCGCCCCCCCCCCCCCTCTAAGATTTTAATTTTTTATTTTAAATTTTCCCACTGATGTCTACTTGAAGAGAGTCTCAGGAAACGACCTATTAAAAAAAAGGTGAGGGGCTGTTTGTCAACAAATCCGTTTGCCGTCCTCGTTACAAGCTGTTTGCCCGTATCAAATGCTGCATGCCATTTTGGGCCTTTTTACCATAGGCGGATTTCCCATTTTAATCCGCTGTGCCAACCTTTCATTTGTTCAGCGCGCGCTGGACAAAGGGTGGTAACTGTTGGGGCAGACCATGGGCTGCTTCTAAAAATAGACGAGTGAGTTTGTGTTGATAGAAGATGTTCAGGCAGATCGTGATTATTTGATGCACGTAAACAAAAATTATTTGTTTTAAATCAGCAAGCTGGATCATTTAAATTTTTTAAAAAGAATTAAATGAAAAGTAATCGTTTTTTAATTATTTTTTTTATTTTGAAATATAGTAACTTTGTTACTTTGACTTGTGATAGCGTAATCCAGGTCCAGTGGAACCAGTGTAAGGCGGATGGCACCCTTTCTACCAAATAGTGTTTATTCAATCCTGTAATATCTTTAAAAAAATTATAAAGCCAATTTGTATAAGACACTAGAGATAACCCGCTAAACGATGGCGGCGACAATGCGTGAACTCCCCAACTATTAGAGTTACTGGACAACACATGCATGCAGGTCAAGCACTTTACAAGAATCCCATTTAACGTAAGCCTGAAAGAAATTTCTTTCTATATTATCAAAATAAAACTTACATATTGACCTGAGGACATTTATTTTACCAGAGTCAAATTGCTGTCATTTCCATTATTTTTTTTTTTAATCTCTCAGACAGTGTTTCTCAGAATTCCATTTAGATCTATGAACAATTAGCATACACAGAATAATGTTAGGATCTTCAGTTTTTGTTTTTGTTGGTTTTTTTTCCACACTTTTTAATTTTTTTAAACTGTTCACCACTTGTGGACCGGAGAAAGTAAGCTAGGGAAACAGTTCTTATTCCTTGACCAGCATATGGACCAACATCAAGACCAACATTGGCACAAACCAGTCACCAGCATTATATTTATATTAAGGCCAACATTTGGACCAACATTAAGACTAACGTTTTGCACTAACATGTTACCAACATTCGGACCAATATATTAGGACCAACGTTTCAATCAAAATTTGGATCATCATTTGGGCAAGCAGTTCGACCAACATTTGGACCGACATTGGGACCAACATTTGGACAGACATTGGGACCAACATTTGGACCAAAACTTGGACCAACATTTGGACCAACGTTTGGACCAACATCTGGACCAACATCTGGACCAACATCTGGACCAAAATCTGGACCAACATCTGGACCAACATCTGGACCAACATGTGGACCAACATTTGGACCAACATGTGGACCAACATTTGGACCAACACTTGGACCAACATTTGGACCAACATTTGGCCCAACACTTTGACCAACACTTGGACCAACACTTTGACCAACATTTGTACCAACACTTGGACCAACATTTGGACCAACACTTGGACCAACACTTGGACCAACGTTTGGACCAACATTTGGACAAATATTTGGACCAACACTTGGACCAACATTTGGAGCAACATTTGGACCAACACTTGGACCAACACTTGGACCAACACTTGAACCAACACTTGGACCAACACTTGGACCAAATTTGGACAAACATTTGGACCAACACTTATCTAAAATATCTTATACATTCATTTCGAGATGTCATTAAGATTTAGAAAAACAATATATTTAGAAATTAAAAAAATGAACAACACTCATCTAAGTTCATGTTTTAGGCCTTTTCCTTAACGTCTAGGCTTATTTATTGCAATCAGAGCGTTTTTTTTCCCCTAAATTGTTTGTTTACATTTGCTCCTCGTGTGGTCTTGATATTTCTTTTGGAGATTTAAATTCATCTTATATTTCTGAACTGGCCACCCACGTAAAACATTTTCATTTAATGCTTGACTTCAAAATGTGTTAGTTCACTGTGCAGCGATTTTATTCTTGATGATTGAATTTGTAATTGTTCATGAAAGAGATGTTAAATTGGTTGTAATATTAATCCACTTGTTATTGAAAACGAACCTTTTTTTTTTTTTTTGGCTTTAGAAACCATTCTATCAATCAGATAAAAAAAATTCCTGTCTACTTCTTTGTGTTTGGAGAGTATTTACAGTTTAGACTGTACACAAAATATTCAGTTTCTACTATTGCGTTTGTATGCGTTTGTTTATCTCTCCCTCTTTTAGCTTCTGACTTCGTGGCTCAATATTTTTTTGGTTTAAATTATTCAATTTAAGATTTCATTAAAAAAATATTATTTTTTTTTAAATATTTTTTTTTTTTTTTTTAAGGTTTTGGTTTTTCTTTTTCTTTTCTTTTCGTTTCTTTATTTTAATTTTAGTGGTCACCACGATTTCACCCGAACAGACACGCCAGCACTACCTTTTCCGTTTTTTCATTTTAATGTTGCTTTTCTACTATTGCGTTTGTATGCGTTTGTTTATCTCTCCCTTTTTTTGCTTCTGACTTCGTGGCTCAATATTTTTTTTGTTTAAATTATTCAATTTAAGATTTCATTAAAAAAATATTATTTTTTTTTAAATATTTTTTTTTTTTTTTTAAGGTTTTGGTTTTCCTTTCTCCTTTCATTTCGTTTCCTTATTTTAACTTTAGTGGTCACCACGATTTCACCCGAACAGACACGCCAGCTCTACCTTTTCCGTTTTTTCATTTTAATGTTGCACGGGCCTTATCTTCATCTCACAGAAGGCGAGGCTCGAACGGTACCCCGTGAAGGACATCCAGTTGATGCCCTCGCCCGTGTCCTTGACCCCCCAGACGCCGTTGAGGTTGGCCGTGTGACAGGCGTTGTACCACCAGCCCCCGTGAAACCGTTCGGCGCAGTTGATCTCGTGGTTGTCGTTATCCCTGTCGAAGGTGCTGAACTCCCGGCCGCTGTGCACCGGCGAGAAGCTGTCGCCGACGTTGCCGAGGAACCCGCCCACGTGCAGCCTGTAGAACTCCTGCTCGCCGTTCACCCGGAAGTAGGCGTACTCGGCGAACTTTTTGACGCCCTTCCACTCCATCTCGATCCGCAGCTCGTAGCGCCTCGCCGAGGTGACGTGGTGAATGTACTCGTTGCCCAGGTAGAACTCCCCGTTGTCGTAGTCTCCGAACCCGTACTTGTAGTCGTGCCAGCCCCGCGTGAAGTTGGTCTGCCCGTTGGCGCGTCGCTGGATGACCGTCCAGCCGCCGCCGTCGGTGGTCAGGTCGCACATGACCTCGTACCCGTCGGCCAGGACGACGACCCGCCTGGGCGAGACCCCAATTTGAGCATCTCTGCACGACTGGGGCAGCACAGCTGTCTTACGGTATGTTTCGGGTATATTGGGCCTGGCGAACAGTGAGGTTTTCGGGGTAGGTGCTGCAGGGACAAAAAAAAAATATTCAAATAGATGAGACCTAGATGTAAGAGTTGAACATGTTCAAACACACTACAACTAGTGAATAGCTTCAGGCTACATCTCTTAAACAGAGTGTTTCATTGCTTTCTCTTCACTTCGCCTCTGAAACTATTTTTCACATCAAGCAACTTTACAATAATTTCCTTGAACTAATATGACCCGTGCCCTTAAACGGGAAATCATGTTTTATTTATCTTAACCACGCAAGGTATTTTAAAATGTTAGTCCACGATCTGTGATTTTCATTCGAAATTATTTAATAGAATAATAAAATCGTATGAATTTCAAAGCCCGAAGCATTTACTTGTCACCCCCCCCTACCCCACAATGGTCGTGCCATTGTAATCTGAAGTATTAAGACTTACGTGGCCTAGGGTGGTAAAAAAAATTGGTATGAGATCGACAGGTGGCAGCAAGGAGGAGCAAAACCAGTAATATTCTTAAGTTCATCATTTTGTGCCGAGTTCTTTTGTTCAGATACCTTCGTCAGAAAAGGGGAAAAGAAGGTGCAAATATAAATAGACAAAAGTCGATAAATTGCCCACACGAAAAAAAAATGATGGGCAGAAAATAAATATAACTGTATAAAGATTTACCCAAATCTTAAAACGCCAATTACATGTATTAATTAAACATCAAGACATTAAGAGGAACAGCCCGTTCACAACATGCTGATGTAACAAGTGTGCACCAACAAAACGCAATGCACAACATCATGACGTCACTGGTGTGCACTGGCAAAACAACAGGCACACATTTTTCGGTTTCACAATGACTCGGTGCTTCATACGTCATACGTCAGTGCACGTCATTCGTCATGTCTGGTAGTTAGATATTAACCAATATGTATCATCAATTAATTACGCATCATTAACTAATTATATATTAACTAAATATATATCAACTAATTATATATCAACTAATTATATATCAACTAATTATATATTAACTAATTATATATCAACTAATTATCTATCAACTAATTAAATATCAACTAATTATATATCAACTAATTATATATCAACTAATTATATATCAACTAATTATACATCAACTAATTATATATCAACTAATTATATATCACCCGATCTCCTTCTCTCCCCCCGCCCTCACCCCCCCCCCCCCGCTCCATGAAACAAAAACATAATGAACCAAACATTACTGCAGTTGACCGTTGAGGCACCATACTTATCGACTCAAGTTCAATGAACATCCGCTACTTAAGTGTGCATTTAGGGACATGAGAGCAGTTACCTTTGACTAGAGACTGTCAGTGGGTGAATGCTGTGCCTACAGTTGTAGTAATTCTAGGACGTGAGGCGGCCACTGTTTCCTAATCAAATGATAATATTCCATTAAATGGGCTGAGATTTACATGAGTAATGCACTTTCACAGTAGGCCTAAGTAATATACTATAACAGTAGGCCTAAGTAATATACTATAACAGTAGGCCTAAGTAATATACTATAACTGTAGGCCTAAGTTATATACTATAACAGTAGGCCTAAGTAATAAACTATAACTGTAGGCCTTAGTAATATACTATAACAGTAGGAGTAAGTAATATACCATAACAGTAGGCCTAAGTAATATACTATAACAGTAGGCCTAAGTTATGCACTATCAAAGTAGGCCTAAGTAATGTTCTATCACAGTAGGCCTAAATAATGTACTATTACAGTAGGCCTAAGAAACGTACTGTTAAAGTAGGCCTAAGTAATGAACTATCGCAATAAGTCTAAAGAATGTACTATCACAGTAGGCCTAAGTAATGTACTTTCAGAGTAGGCCTAAGTAATGTACTGTCAAAGTAGACCTAAGTAATGCTTTATCACAGAAGCCAAAAAATGCAATATCATAGTAGGCCAAAAGTAATGCACAATCACGGTAGGCCTAAGTAATTCACAATCACAGTAGGCCTAAGTAATGCACTATCACAGCAGGCCTCAGTAATGCACTATCACTGATTACACTGTACATTTTGTTTTAAGTCTGTGAAATTTTTACCAAAACTATTAATTAAGGGGAAAGAGGCACAATCCTAATTGTAATAAGAGTTGCCTTCAGAGAAGTGACCCGGAAGGACTCGAAATAACGCGGAATGGAGACAAACACAAAATATACAAACACGACAGTAGAACTCTAAAAATGCTGTTGAATTCCATAAATATACTCAGAAAAATAAATAATTGCATAATGAACATAAAGTTCGATGAAGAGATCTCGCACATTAAAGTGCGTGACCTCTTCCTAAATGACCATTCATTAAACAAAATTCGATAACCAAGAAATCAACTTCACCTCACGTCCATTAACAGGAAGTGTAGATTGATTTTGTTTAAAGCCATTCAAAATGCTGAACGCCAAGACGTCAATGACGTGTACGTTTTGTGACCTGTTGGGTTCAAGAGTGTCTCAATTCCATCTCCACAGCAGTAAATACGTAATGCCCTCATGATGAAAATTTATAAATAGGGTTTAGAATGAACTTCTTGTCAAAATTTCTGGGCATTATTTTAAAAAGTATTGAACAATACAGTAAGATTTTTTTTCCAAAAAATACAAAACTCTTTTTTTAAAAAATACTTTATAATGTATAATAACTGCGCTTTTGTTGGTGGGTGGCTGACAAAATCTTCGGACAGCTAATTGACCCACTTTCGGACAATCTATGGAGCTGAAGCTTGGCATATAGACTCATGCCGATGACAACACATTCTTTCAAATCTTTAGCCCCACCCCCCCCCCTTCCCCAAAAGTCAGTTTTCCTGTTTTTCAAGGGGAAGATGAAGGGAAACGAAATGAAATTCCCGATACTGCGTTCAATGAAATTCTTTTGCTTTTAAATATGGCAGGTGCAATTGGTGCGTAATTTTTTATTTTGTTTTTCTGAAATAGTAGGTGAGTGAAATAAATCCGTGATGTAAAAGCGAATGGTTTGTTAGAATATTAATATAGTTCCGGTTGAGTGAACAAAATGTGCGGTGGCGAGCCTTAGGGGCGGGGAGCGGGGGGGGGGGGAGTGCACTACTTGGGCGTTCTTATAAAGTGCATTACTTGAATGCATGTTTTGTCACATTTTCAGCCCCACCCCGTCCCCCATTGTTCGATATTACATTTTGGTTTTATAAGGGTTCGATACAAAATAAAAATTCGTTTTAAGGTTTTAATTACGGCATTCTTCAGAAAAGATATCTATTGTCAATCGTAAAACTGTTTTCCTTTAAAAAAAAAAGAGATATTAAATTGTTTCCGTTTTTTAATCTCGTTCAAAAAATAATTATGAAATTGATATTTTATTTTTTTTTAAGGGTAAAATATGAATTCATTCGTCTCAGGTCACCGATGGGTACGAACCCTATTTAAGGAATAGCTATTCAAAATGCTTATGTAAACACTATTTGAAATTAGTTTGAGCTCCCTTTTTGACCACTGTACCTGTATCGCCACTAGAGCAAGAGAGTATTTATTACATCTCATCTCCACATGTTATGAATCATATTCTCTCTTACTAGTGTTTCTCAATTTCCCTGTATTACCTCTATTTTTTTTTTCTTTTTCCTTAGATTTTACGTATCCCTAAATAATTTGGTCCGTTAAGATTCTCGACCTTCATTTTTCACAGTACCAATATTTATATTCTTTCACTTCCTGTAATCCTACTTCCGGTAATAAAAAGGAAATCTCTAATTATTATTATTTTTTTTTTTTTTGCTGTTATCTGATACTTACTAAACTTCTTTTTGTCTTGTTTTCTGATGAAGGCTCTAAGCCGAAACGAAAAAATCTTTCGTCTATGATTTCCTGTTTAGCATACCTTGTTCTTATATTTCATTCAAATGGAGTAAATAAAATGTGTGAAGCCGATCATGAACGATTCTAATGCAAAAAAAAAAAAAAAAAAAAAAAAAAAAAATTTTTTTATAATACTCCTACATAAATCTTTTTTTTTTTTTTTTTAAAAAAAAAAAAAAAAAAAAAAAAATCAATTTTTTTATTATACTCCTTCATAAATTTTTTTTTTTTTTTTTTTTTATTTTGTAGCCGCAAACTCCACTTGGTTGTACATCAGAAATACCCTTTTTAGAATTTAAAAAAAAAAAAATTGTTTTGTTTTGCAGACGACATCTTTATAATACTCATGTAATCACGAAAATGGAAACGTTACTTATGAAAATTGTTACAACATTCAAAACACTTCGGGGAGCTGGTCAATATCGCAAGTTATTGTACAACATCAAAGTTACACAAGGTTTGCTATTTACATTTCATCTTATTGCTACTGCCATTTTAAATTTGCATACAAGGATGTCTGTATGTCTTTAACGAGCCCCTAAAAAATCGGAGTCATTCCCTTTCTAGTCCATGACAATCAGTTACGGCGATTAAATAAATACTTCAAGTGTTTTACGACAGCGAACGTCTCTGTCTAATAGCAGGGGGATCAATGTAAATGTAAATTTAAGAGAAAAAAAAAGGCAATATTGTGCACCAAACGCACTTGCGGATAAAAATTTAATAGAATGTATTGTCATCGGCAACGAGTCTATGTGCCAAATATCAGTTCGATAGGTTGATGGGAATCGTGTCAAATGGCTATCCGAAGTCCGAAGATTTTACCAGTCAGCCACGAACAAAAGCGAAGCTAATTAGAACTGCTTTATTTTCAGTTAAGTTAGTGAACAACTAAAACAATTTGAGTGCTTATTGAGGCAAGGCGATGTTTTTATCACATTTGTTGAGATGTCGGTAATTGTGAAGGATGGTATGCGATCTTTCTTGATAGATTGTGTCTCTGAGATTATGTAGTGTGGAAGGAATGCATCTAGGGCTATTGGAAATACCCCGATGGGAGATGCTGGTGGTCCAAGGAAAGTGCTTGGGATGTGAAGAGGCTTAATGAGATGGCGCGTGTTGTTAGTGTTCCGTCTGTAATTCATCGAGACGCAACTTACACATCATTAGTCAGAAGATGAATGCACACATTGCGGCCCTATGTGGGGACGCACGGTGCTGCTACTGAACCCCCATTCAGACATGTGCTCGCTCTTACAAAAGGAATACGGCCCTGAATGTCGATTTTTCCAAGAATGCTCTCAGTGGTTCTTATGTTGCCAACTTGACGCCCTGTGAGAATAAACACCGCCGAAGTCGGTGCCTCTGTTAGTTAACGTTCCCTGTCATTTGAGCTACTATTGTAAGTGAAAACAATATAACTTTATTTATAACATTGGCAATATTGGAATCTGAACTTTACGACTTATTTACGATAATGCCAGCTGTGGGGACATTTGTGAAATAGGGTGACATTTGGTGACATTTGGATAATATGGCCAGGTAAGCCGTATCAGCTTAGTCATAAAGTCAATGTGGGAATATTACGGGGAGTGGTCCGGCCCCCTGGGCATGTCCAAAGGCCAAAATCTGTCCAGCGGACCAAAATGTTTGAGTACCCCAGATGTAGTCTACACCAATCCAGTGCTGCACAGTTGTGTCCACACACTCTAAGTAGGCCTTAGTTCTGTGCTCGGTGTTGGTGTCAGTGCCAACTTGACCTTTGCTCTTGACCCCGGGTAAAGCAATTTAGGGCACCCCTTAAAAAAAATGTGTTTATTGGTGTTGGTAGTAGGGGTACAATTTCGGCGCCCTAACTCATTTGGTACCCTTGGGCGGCCACTCGAAAAGGAAACTGTTTGGGGTTATTTTATGTCTATAGTAACTTTATTCATATTAGAAATATTTCGTTTTTCATCAAGCGTTGACATTTGTAGACCATACTTATTCACCCCTTTTTCATTGCCAAGACGTAAACATAGCTAAGCTGCATTCGAACACAAATCAATAGTCCCAGTAAATTTCTAGAAAAATCTTTAACACGTCTGCAGGCTGGTTATACGATACAAAATCGTTCGAGCTCATCGATCAAATGTCAACAAGAATGAAAGAAATCATTATACACTATGCTATGTTTACAATTGGAAATCCATCCCAGCTCTTGAAATCATAGAACAATCGGTTTAAAATAAAAAGTAATTATGAGGTGGTTACAGAAAAGAAATCATTGAGAAGATAAAATGCGACTGGAATGTTACATGTAATTTATTTAAATTTGATTCAATTTCTCATCAAGGATGGTGAATATTATTATTTTTTTCTTTATAAATATTTCTATGGATTCATAAGCACCGAATGGCCAAAAAGTGTGCAAAGTGTCTTTTTTTGTACAAGCTATTAGACTCTTGTTAAATTTGTCCCGACAGTCCATGACCATGGCTTGATCCTAAAAGGTGTTAGGGATGAAAATTAATATATTTTCTCTAACATTTAGTCCATTATATTAAAATCAAACGACTTTAGTTTCACGGAATATTAACTAAAGTGAAACCCTTTAGGGACAGATCAATAGACTGATTTTAATGGGGCTGGTAGTCATAATAGAAACGGGGTGTGTATGAGACGTGCCACTAGTCGGCCGGTGCCGGGAGAATTATACTGGAATCACAGGGCCAGCGGGGTGCAGATCGATGGCTGTTGATTACATTCTCAAATAGCAGGATTAGTAGAATTATAGAGGAACATTACTGTGAGAACATTTCGGGAAATTCTTATGACTTAGATGTATGTATGTTTTCTTTTCTTTTTTTTTAAACACGAAATATGTATGATTTCATAATTTTTTTTTTGTAATTGTATCTTTACAAGGCGTGTAACAGAGACTAAAGCTGTAAATACAGTGGTTTATGTTCGGGTTAGATTTTTTAAAATCTGTTACGCTAAAATGGTCATCTTATGTGTTCAAATAACCAGGAACGACAAAAAACGAATCACAGCTATTGGGGAACGTGTCACTATGAACGACCATGTCCTCCATCCACTATTTGACGTACTCTCGCCGGCTCAGCTCTTTTCTCGTGGACTTTTCTGAGCTGCTGACCTTTCCTTGCTTGGCGCCTGAGACGTAAAGAAAATATTCCGAGTGCAGTAATGCTTTAGAAATTATCAACGTTTTCCTGTGATTACTTTGCAACCATTGTTAACGCTCACAGCCTATGATTATTATACCGTCATGAACGCTTTCAGGGAGTAGTTATCAACCCCAAAATCATCGTTAAGACGGCAAGGTGACTTTTGTCGTAGTGTTACTCCAACTAAATTTTCAAAAACATTTTCAAGGACATTTTTTAAAACCATATTTCAGATTCACGTTTTGACAAAGACTGACAAAAATTGTTCTTGATTGTTTACTTCTAGACTTCTAGTGAACGCCGCTATCCATTAGAATGTATAAGAAATACAAAGAGTCGCTGAGGACGTCCGCTGTTACGGTTCACGGTGCACTGGGATTCAAAAGACTGCTGAACAATGCGGGTTTGTACACGTTATTAGAATAATGAATAGCATGACACATTTTTTAGCTTTCATCTCGTTTCCACAACATGAAACGCTGCCCCAACGAAGTCAATGACCCAATTCCACACACACACACACACACACATGAAAACTAAAGCGGTACCTGAGGTCATTAAGGTTCGAGCTCTCGCATCATTCTCACGCGTGCAAAACGAGCACTGACTTACTGAGACGCCGCTTCTTTGTCGGCGGTTTACAGATGACGATGTTGTTTAAGATGCATGGTCACGGCAACACCTAAACATCTTGAGCACGAATGTTGACTCTTTCAACATAAGCCTCCCTGAACAAAGATAGCTTATTTGTGATTCTGTCAACGTAAGCCTCCCTGAACAAAGATAGCTTATTTGCGAGTCTGTCAAAAATAAGCCTCCCTGAACAAAGATAGCTTATTTGCGATTCTGTCAACATAAGCCTCCCTGAACAAATATAGCTTATTTGTGAGTCTGTCAACATAAGCCTCCCTGAACAAAGATAGCTTATTTGTGATTCTGTGAACATAAGCCTCCCTGAACAAAGATAGCTTATTTGTGAATCTGTCAACATAAGCCACCCTGAACAAATATAGCTTATTTGTGAATCTGTCAACTTAAGCCTCCCTGAACAAAGATAGCTTATTTGTGAGTCTGTCAACATAAGCTTCCCTGAACAAAGATAGCTTATTTGTGAAACTGTCAACTTAAGCCTGCCTGAACAAAGATAGCTTATTTGTGATTATGTCAACATAAGCCTCCCTAATCAAAGATTGCTTATTTGTGAATCTGTCAACATAAGCCTCCCTAATCAAAGATTGCTTATTTGTGATTCTGTCAACATAAGCCTCCCTAATCAAAGATTGCTTATTTGTGAATCTGTCAACATAAGCCTCCCTGAACAAAGATAGCTTATTTGTGAAACTGTCAACTTAAGCCTGCCTGAACAAAGATAGCTTATTTGTGATTCTGTCAACATAAGCCTCCCTAATCAAAGATTGCTTATTTGTGAATCTTTCAACATAAGCCTCCCTAATCAAAGATAGCTTATTTGTGAATCTGTCAACATAAGCCTCCCTAATCAAAGATTGCTTATTTGTGAATCTGTCAACATAAGCCTCCCTAATCAAAGATTGCTTATTTGTGAATCTGTCAACATAAGCCTCCCTAATCAAAGATTGCTTATTTGTGAATCTGTCAACATAAGCCTCCCTAATCAAAGATTGCTTATTTGTGAATCTGTCAACATAAGCCTCCCTAATCAAAGATTGCTTATTTGTGAATCTGTCAACATAAGCCTCCCTAATCAAAGATTGCTTATTTGTGAAACTGTCAACATAAGCCTCCCTAATCAAAGATAGCTTATTTGTGAAACTGTCAACTTAAGCCTCCCTGAACAAAGATAGCTAATATCTGAGAGAGGTCATAAAAAAAATTAATGACAATAACTTAACCCCCTAACACCCATCTCCATAATCCTATAACAAAGGTTCACACACAACTTTGAAAGCGTCAGCCCGGTGTTGTGCTGGATGATGAAAATATTAAGACAAGTAAACGATTTCAACCTCGTTCAAAAATTTTAAGGGCTGCACACACGCATGTTTCATATAAATGTAGATCTTCCTTAATTATTGATATTTCCCAAGACTACCACACTTAAATAAAATATGTATTTGTCTATATTTATTATTTTGCCATTTTAAAAAACTGTTATTTTGATATTCACAAAGTCCCATCATTTTACCATCGACAAAAGCCCCATCATTTGACAACTCACAAAAGCCCTATCATTTGACCATTGACAAAAGCCCAATCATTCGACAACTCACAAAAGCCCCCTCATTTGAGCGTTCACAAAAGTCACGTTATTTTGTTATTTTCCCCGTTCGTTAAGCAATAAGAAAAAAACCTCATTGTTTTACACATTCACAGTCTATTCTCAAGACACAGTGGACACCAAAAGCCAAGGAAGGGCTAAAGACACAAAGGGTGACGGAGCATCTGCAGAAGCGTCCCAAGAAGAATACATAGAAGATGCGAGGGAAGCTTTGAAAGAAATAAAGCACCAACAGGAGGCTGAACAACTTTTAAAGGAAAATCTTCACTTGGCTGGAACGTTCCTAAAAGGAATCAACTGTTTGAAGAGCATAAATTCATCCGAGCCCCTTGCAGAACAACTAAAGCTCTTCCAAGATGAGTTATTTAACATTACGGAGGAAAACATGTCTGCGGTTGTTGAGTTTCTTAACGCCATCTCATTTGGTAAGAAGATTTTTAAGAAGTACAGATCAACTCTGAAAGCTCTGAGCATGGATCACTTTGTAGATGATGAGGAAAACACCGGAGTTGAAGAGGAAGTGGGAGAGGATGGCTATGAAGATGAAAATGAAGAATACTACGGCTATGTCGAAAGTGAGGACCAGACAGACATGGAAGAATGGCAAGACGAGGAAGAGCAAGGGGAGACAGAAGGACAAGGAGAGGAAGAGCTTGGAGAGACAGAAGAGGGACAAGACGTAGATGACCAAGACGTGTTAGGACAGGAAATAGAAGACCAAGAAGTAACAGAAGAGGGTGAGGAAGGAGGGTACGAAGGAGAGACAGAAGGGGGACAAGAAGAAGAAGACTATGGAGAAACAGTAGATGGTCAGGAGGAAGAACACCAATGTGAGAGTGAAGAAGAGTTTGGTGTGGAAGATTATTTAGACGTAGGGGCTGAAGATCGGCAAGTGACCATGGAAGTTCTTCGCTGTATACGGAATCTTTGGGGGTCACTGTCAGAAAACGATAAGTTCTCCTCAAAATTGGCAGCGGATGGAGTTTTAAAAGTGTTGGTTGGTGACATTGAAACTCGAAGTAATGATGTTGATACTAAATTAGTAAGAAATTTTCCTCTTTACGAAAGTTCATTTTTTAAATTTAAATTTATTTTAATGTTGAAAAGCCAAGCAATATAAACAGCTATCATGACCCAATTTCAATCCGCACACAAAAAATAAATTTTGCGAAATAAGATACTTTAATTTGTATTAAATTTTAAAAATTATTTTTAATAGGTCTCAAACGATAGTTTTACTTCGACTCTAGCAACTATATTCAACATTGCGAGACAGTCGTCAGCAAGAGACCAGTTTAAGGAATATCAAGTTGTTGATAAATTAAAGATCTTTCTAGACCGCCCAAGTGGTTAGTCTTTATGCAATCTGTTGGTGTTTATTTGTTTAATAACATATTCAAGCATTAAATTAGATTGTGTGTTTAAACCCTTTTTTAAATTACATCATAAAGTTTGAACATTTATTTAAATGATTTATATTACATGTAATTATATCAAAGAATTTGTATTACATGTAAACAAGTCACATAATTTATATCACACGTAAACAGGTCACATAATTTATATGACATGTAAGCATGTCACATAATTTATATTACATGTAAACAAGTAAAAAAAATGTATATTATGTGTAAATATGTCACAAAATATATATAACATCTAAACATGTCACATAATTTACATTACAGGTAAACATGTCACAGATATTTTATTTCTGTTAATATGTTTCCTTTAGGCTTCTTTCTTTCTTTCAGTTTCTTACATCGTCATTTTGACTTTGGCTTTAATTATTGACGATAACCAGAAGGACGTCATAACAATGACCAACGCTACGTTTCATGACATCATGAAATCTGCACGAACAGCGTGGAAGGCAAAAGATAAACAATATGCTGGATGGAGGTAATCGATAAGTAGATATTGATAAACAATATGCTGGATGGAGGTAATCGATAAGTAGATATTGATAAACAATATGCTGGATGGAGGTAATCGATAAGTAGATATTGATAAACAATATGCTGGATGGAGGTAATCGATAAGTAGATATTGATAAATAATATGCTGGATGGAGGTAATCGATAAGTAGATATTGATAAACAATATGCTGGATGGAGGTAATCGATAAGTAGATATTGATAAACAATATGCTGTATGGAGGTAGTCGATAATTATATACCCCTTTTAACCAAGCATACATAATTGAGTGCAATATTGGGATGACTGCGCTCAGGTAAAAGCAGTAGGAAATTTAAAAAAAACAACATATTGTTGGGTAAACCCCTGACAAAAACGAAATGAAACAGCAAACGAGAGATGGCAAGAAGTCTTCTTTGAAAACATCAGGGTTGAAATAAGGCAAATTTAAAAAAAAAATAAAAATATTAATCAATACTCATATTTAGGAATGTATCAGAAAACAGTTAGATGATGAACGTGTACTCGGATTAAATAAGGGAATTAACACATGGAGAAGGGGAATAAAAATGTGAAAGGAACTAAACTATAATTAGTTGTTAAAACTATCCAAAAAGAAAAAAACAAAGTTGGGGGAGGGGGGGAGGGGGGGAGGAGGTTAGCAAAGGAAAGAAAACATGACATTCAATCACGTGGTGTCTGGCTCTTATATAGGTATATCGGTTGGCTAGAGGAGGGGTAGCCTTTATAAAACATACTTGTCGCCTTTGTGGTCACGTGTCGGAAGTCAGAAGAGTCGGCGCATTGCTTATCTTGAGCGGTGTTGCGAATGTGTTCACTGATACTGTCAGCAAGCCGAAGATTAGTCTCACCAGCAGCAAAGCACATATACACGCAATGGTGAAAAGAACGTTGCGACTTATACCGTATTCTATTTGAAAATACCCTTATGAAGTCAATGTGTTGAGTTTGAATGGTGTACGGACAGGTCTCTTCCACATTCACAATGCTTAGTCCCAAAGTGGGAGGCATCGTTCGGAGGTCGCCTCAATAAGTCTGGGGGAAGGCGTACGGCCGGTCATACCATTAAATAATGTCAGATCGCGACCAGCATAAATGGATGAAAATTCACATATATTTTTAATTGTTTTACAACTTATTTTTTTCCCTTAGATTACGCGAGCTCCTTCTAGCACTGTGTGGGTTAGCTAAAAATGACGTCAGGAAGAAGCTGATGGTGCAGAGAGGCGTGCTTACGTTGATCTGCAATGTGCTGATGGATGAAAACGATCATGCTAAAGAGGAAGCAACCAAATTGTTGTGGGAGCTCTCCTTTCATGAAGAAAACAAGGGTGTTATTGAGGTTAGATCATTTTTAATGCCAGAATTTAACAAAGAGATACTTTTCCTATTGAGCAATATTTTTTTTAAATGTTTTAAATATAACCTTTCTATTTCCATTTAAGGATAAATATGAAAATACTTTATTCCATTGTTTCAGGGTTATTAATTTCTACATGTAAATGTAGTAGATATTTCCTTTCAGAAAAACAAACCATTAATGAATGCCGTCAAGGTACTGACATCTTGTCCGAACAAAGAAACTGTCAGAGCTGCACAGGGTGTCTTGTGGAGTATCGAAAGTCACAAAAGTGCAGCAAAAACAGGTTTCTCAAAACTTTATTGACAAGTTTTTGTCAGGTTAAATTCCAGGAAAAAAAGATTTCTAAGCATGTGAAACTGATTACTGCATCTAGTAAAGTACTAGCTTTTTGTGCCCTGCTCTATTTAACTTCGTGAAATTGTTGTGTGTTCTTTGTTCATCTTTTTAATAAGGATAAATTTGATGAAATATAGTTTGAACAAAATAGAATATATTAAGAATGCTTTTTCTATTAAGTTTTTTTTCTGAATAAATTCCTAAATAATTTCTTTCAAGAAAATCTGTATCTGACTCTGGTAACATGTAAAATATTACTTTAATGCATGTAAATCAACAAAGTAAAAAATTTGATAAAACACTAATTTAATATTTTTTTTCTTTCAGTTTCTGTTAATGAGAAAATTGAAGGTCACATTATGATCAGCTACCAGTGGGCTGACCAGCCAGTACTGATCAAGGTAACGGAATAAAAGGTTTAAAAAAGAAACTTAAAACAATTTGGGAACCGTCAAGACATCCTTTGTTTAAATAGCAACATATTTTTTAAATTCAATAGTTTGAGGGAAATGAGATGTGCTGGTGCCAGTAAAATATATCATCCTAATTCAGAGTTTAGATTCAATACTTAAAAAATAGATCTGAATTTCGAATGCTTATCCATTGCTATGCATCTATTTTCTTGATATGTTGATGGTAACGGAAAGGAGTCTTATATTTTCTATCGTTTTTTTAACGTCAGTGACTGCGTTTTGTCATTCTTTTTTGTACGAATAACAAAACGCAGTCATTGACGTTAAAAAAAATATGTATGTATTTTAAACATCTCATCACTTCGATTTGTTTTATGCGATCTTTATTTGATCGTAACATAGTTCTTATTCTGTTACATGAAATTAAATTGAATTAGAAAATGACAAGATTTATTAAAACATGGCTACAGGTACGGGAAGAGCTGCAGAAAGCGAATTTCAAAACATGGATGGACCTGGATGACATGGAGGGATCCACGATGAGCGCCATGGCTGAAGCCGTCGATAACGCAGCCGTCGTTTTAATCTGCATGTCCGAGAAATATAAAGAAAGCCAAAACTGCAGAGCGGGTGAGTATTGATTTATCGATATAAATCTATCGCTAAGTGTATTTAAAATGAAAAAAATAATTGCGCTTTAATTTTAAATTTCAATTTTTGTATTTTTTTTTTACGAAATAATCGTTTTTAAACGTTACGAATATTTTAAAAAGGAAATATTTCTGAGTAAAGACCGCACTGGCTTTTTACTCTATATTTAAGGTTATTTTTTTAACTAGGGGAGGGGGGGGCAGTTGCGTAGCGAGAGTGTTTGGCGCCCGGGTACGATATTCATTTTAAGCGTTCCCTTTTCTTTTTTACAACTCTCAAACCCATTATTTTCATCAATAAAATAATATCAAAGCACATTTACGTGCCCTTAACTAGCTGGCGCCCGGGGACATCTGCCCCCCCTGTGTCCCCACCCCCCTTTCGCAACGCCTTTGGGTGGGGGCCTACATTTGGGAATTTTCAAAAATATAAAAGAAAATATTTTTAAAATTAGCACAAACAATTAGGTTGCGGCCTTTACTGAGAAAAATACGGCAATTCCAGCGAGTTTATTCTATTTAACAGATTATATGACATAACATTCAATTGTTTTTTTTTTTCTCTTGGTCACTCCAGAAGCTGAGTACACGTATAAACGGAAGAAACCATTCATTCCTCTCCTCATGCAGCGTGGTTACGAGAGTACAGGTTGGCTTGGCTTGATGGTTGGCACGAGGCTGTTCTATGAATTCTCTAGTAAGGCTTAGCTAAAGATTTAGTGATAGACAGAAGAGAGACGTACGCGCTGATGGGTAGGTGGGGTGGCAGTCAATCAAGCACGCAGACTGGCTGACAGACAGAATTACGGGTCATGATGACTGACTGACAGACAGAATTACGTGGCATGCAGAATGACGGACAGACAGAATTACGGGTCATGCAGACTGACTGACGGACAGACTTACGGGTCATGCAGACTGACGGACAGACATACTTACGGGTCATGCGGACTGACTGACAGACAGAATTACATCTTATGAATTTTTAGATTGTTGATACGTTAAATAGTTAACTTATCGATAGATTACATAGTTAAATATGTAATTATTTGTAACAAATCAGTGGAGGGGCATGTTAAAGAAATCAGTGTTCATTAAATATCTTCATTATTTGTAACAAATCAGTGGAGGGGCATGTTAAAGAAATCAGTGTTCATTAAATATCTTCATTATTTGTAACAAATCAGTGGAGGGGCATGTTAAAGAAATCAGTGTTCATTAAATATCTTCATTATTTGTAACAAATCAGTGGAGGGGCATGTTAAAGAAATCAGTGTTCATTAAATATCTTCATTATTTGTAACAAATCAGTGGAGGGGCATGTTAAAGAAATCAGTGTTCATTAAATATCTTCATTATTTGTAACAAATCAGTGGATGGGGCATGTTAAAGAAATCAGTGTTCATTAAATATCTTCAATATTTGTAACAAATCAGTGGAGGGGCATGTTAAAGAAATCAGTGTTCATTAAATATCTTCATTATTTGTAACAAATCAGTGGAGGGGCATGTTAAAGAAATCAGTGTTCATTAAATATCTTCATTATTTGTAACAAATCAGTGGAGGGGCATGTTAAAGAAATCAGTGTTCATTAAATATCTTCATTATTTGTAACAAATCAGTGGATGGGGCATGTTAAAGAAATCAGTGTTCATTAAATATCTTCAATATTTGTAACAAATCAGTGGAGGGGCATGTTAAAGAAATCAGTGTTCATTAAATATCTTCATTATTTGTAACAAATCAGTGGAGGGGCATGTTAAAGAAATCAGTGTTCATTAAATATCTTCATTATTTGTAACAAATCAGTGGAGGG